TCAAATTATTTTCAAAAATATTGTATTTTTAACCATAGTTATTAGTATCTTACGATACCCGATAAGTATCATACGATATGATTCGATACAGATCGTTAACGATACGTATTACAGAGTAGATCTTAAACCTTTTGATATGTTGATATGTATCTTATGATATGATACGTATTTGTTCGTATCCTTAAAAATATCGATACAGATCGATATGACTTTATTAATTTAGGCCAAAGACCCAAAAAAATTTCGGGTTGGAACTGGGTCAACCAACCTGGTTGACTAAAATCTGCCTAAATTTACCTACTTTGCATGAAGAAAATGAAGAGGAACACGTGTTACCTATTTTGTATGATAATAATAATACAAGTGAAGATATAAATATTGACATTGATCTTAGAAATGATATGAATGGTTGAGAGAAAATAATATAGATTCTTAATTTTGATTATGTAATACCATAATTTAAAGCCAATAAATAATACCACATAAATCTTTAATTAATTTTAGGATGATATTAATTTTTAAAAAAAATTTGATTATTTTATTAAATTTTTTGAGAAAGACTAATCCTACGGTATGATATGGGACATGATTCAAAAAATTAAGTTTTCGATACACGATACGATGCGCGATTTGACAACCATGTTTTTAACCTTTATTTTCTACTAAAGATTTATATCAAGCAAATCGTTATATTTTTGTAATATTAAAATTTTTTTTTAAGAGTCACATTATAATAAGTCTTTCGTACTATGGTGATAAGTACAATCAATCAAACATGAAACAATAAAAAAATTACATTAATGAGATAANTTGCTAATTCAAAAAAAGAGAAAATGACTTTTTTCCATTTTTTATCGTATACTAATTTTGTTTGTGACTTAAGAGTATAGAATTCACCCTTAAAGCCGTCTTGTGATAGGACGGTGTCTAACAGTTAATAAACCCCTCACTGATATCTCACACCCCGTCTTGTGATAGGAGGGTGTTTAACAGTTAATAAACCACTTAATGATAGGATCTTACATCGAAATCTCACACTCAACAAATATGATACTTAAACTTAATGACTCTTTCATCTATCGTGCCGATCTTTTGGATTGAGTTTTCCATTGGGCTTGAGTTTTAACACTTACTAATCTCATACTTAATAGATGTTAGATTTTAAAAATATTTGACGATAGTGCATACAAATTATTTTAGAAAATATTGTATTTTTAACCATGGTTATTAGTATCTTATGATATTCGATATATATTATACGATACGATTCGATACAGGTCACCAATGATACGTATCAGAAAGTGTATTCTAAACTTTTCGATACGTTGAAATGTATTCTACGATACGATACGTATCTGTTCGTATCCTTAAAAATATCGATACAATTTTATTAATTTGGGCCAAAGGCCCAAAAAAATTCGGGTTGGAACCGGGTCACCCAACCCGGTTCACTAAAACCTGCCCAAATTTACCTATTTTGCATGGAGAAAGTGAAGAGGAACATATGTTACCCATTTTGTATGATAAAAATAATACAAGTGAAGATATAGATATTGACATTGATCTTGAAAATTATATGAATGGTTGAGAGAAAATAATATAAATTCTTAATTTTGATTATGTAATACCATAATTTAAAGTCAATAATACCATAAAAATCTTTAATTAATTTTGGGATGATATTAATTTTTAAAATTTTTTGATTATTTTATTAATTTTTTTGAAAAAAGCGTATCCCACAATACGATACGATACGCGATATATGATTCAAAAAATTAAGTTTTCGATATACTACATGATACACGATTTGACAACATATTTTTAACCTTTATTTTCTACAAAAGATTTATATCAAATGAATCGTTATATTTTTATAATATTAAAATATGGTTTTAAGAGTCACATTATAATAAGTCTTTCCTACTATGGTGATAAGTACAATCAATCAAACATGAAACAATAAAAAAATTACATTAATGAGATAAAGGAGATTTAAAATATGGTATAATATAAATTATACATTGGGTTATAGAAGAAGTGTGATGTTAATAGATGATTAAAAATGGGGTTATACAAAAAGTGTGATCTTAATATAGAATATAGATGAATAGTGTAAGTTTATAAAATTAAAAAGTGTGACATTTGAGTTATATATTAAATTGACAATGTGTAACTTGGATACGCTGTTCCTTCATTCCTATCAAGTAGGGATAAGATTAGATTAGAATCATGGTTCACATGTAACAATTCATTGATTTGGGTCATAGTCTTTAATATGATTGTGTCAAATCACACTTATCATGTTATAAATTACAAATTCTTTCATACTAATTCTTTGTATCAGTCAAATGTTGTCTCCCACACCTTGGGTTCTTTTAACTATATAAATAAATTATTTACAAGTAACTGAGTGGTTCGATAAATTCAAGAGGTCTTGAGTTTGAGTCTCTCTTCAAATGTTAATAGGGATAGCTACTGAATCTCTTACTCGATCGATAGTTCTAAGAATTAGTTGAGGTGTGTATAAATTGGTCCGAACACCCCGATCATCATAAAAAAAAAAAAAAAAAAACTATATAAATACATTTTAAGTAAATAATGTAACTTTTAAGCAAATTATTTATCTTCTCTCCTACCTATATTTAACTTTAGGTGTATACCATATGATATAAAAAAAAATAGAAATTATATATTTTCACATCCACACAAATCTCACAAGATGAACCTTAGATCATTGTTGAAAGTGCCATGATACCTAAATAGAAAACTATATATTAACATTTCAATCATGCATAATATACTTTTATATTTAATTATTATTTTATAATTTATCAATAAACTACTATGCCCATATATAAAAGGTCAAAATAACTTAGTTTTTTTTTTTTTTTTTTTTAAATATAAATTGGATACAAATTATTAACCATAAATCTATTACAGTATCTTTTTTGTGTCACTTCAACAACTTTAAATTATTTTGTTACATTAATATTAAGGATATATTTCGGGCTTCCACAACTTTATCGTGTTTGATCGATATCATACGTACAATTTCTTATATGGGATTTGATTTATTTGAATAAATAAAAGATTATTAAATAAAAAATATAAGTTAATTAGTATATGTTTATTTTGTTAAAATAAAAAACAAATTATAATTTACTCATACTGTTTTTCAAACTACAAGCTATCAATGTCTTAATCTTTGATATGTAAGTCTACGCTGTGAAATCATGAAGTTCCTTTTTTTTTATTATTATTATTATTATTTAAAGTATCCGAATTAGTTTGTGTATATCTTAATCAATCATTATAAACCTTAGAACTGTTGGCGGGTGAGAGTTTCAATAGTCATATCTATTAGTGATTGAAGGAACTCGAACTCACGAACTTATAAAACTTTTTTTTACTTTTTTCACTATAGAATTCAATTGTGGAAATTAGAGATTAATACATCCAAATTAAGTGGCAACGACAGAGATATTAGTAACTAATTAATCTTAATTAATTTAATTTGACATTAAGAAAGAGTATGGAGTTGACATTTATTAGTTAACGAACATTATTATAGTGAAAATGTGGATTTGATTTGATGTATTAGAAGTTACAGCTAAATATTTATATAATTTGTTGACTGGCATGGATGAATGCTGTTCACAACTATCTAATTATCTAAATTCAATGCATCTCAATTAAATATTACTTTTTAAGGCCTTCGATCTTTGTTTTTTTTTTAATTGATTTATTTATTTATTTTTTGAATTTCTCAATCTGATGCTTAAAGCAAAAGTATTTCTGGGTGTGATTTGGTTTATCACGGGCATACATTTATTTAGTTTTAAATAAAAAAAACATTTTTTATATTTTCATTTTTTTTTAATGGGCATGTGTTCATATTATATCCAAAAACCTCCAGATTATATCATAATAGAAATATTTAGAATCAAATTTTCTTTTAATCTCATTATTAGATGAAGGTTGAGTAATGGTCAATTGATCTCATTTCAGAATGTATCGATTTCTAATTTAATTTATTTTATAAAACTCAGTATGGTTACAAAGATGCCGAAGGTTGGACTCCATTATATTCCAAGGCACCACGCTATTTAAAAAAAAAAAAAGATTGATTACAACAACATATTCTTACCTAGGTTATAATGGATAGTAGTGCGACACAATTTTTGTGTTGGGAGGAATCATTTTTCTTATAATGCTTTTTTGGTATCTGAAGACTGAAATAACAATTTTCCCGATGTTGCTAGTTTTTTTGTTAGGGTTTCAATGCTTGATTTAATGAATCAAGGGTATTATGTATTAGTTAGATAACGAAAATCTTACTTAAAAAACTGATTGAAAATCCTAACAACATACTGATGGAAGGGATAAATTGTTATTTGAGATACCTGAAAAAGAATTTTGTTTTCAGTGAAACTTAAGGTGTAAATTTTATTAAACTCTACAACAAATTATATCAAAAGTTCTGTATTCTATTCTACAGCTAAAAAAGATATTAAAAAACCCATTGTGAACATAAATTACAAAACCTCAAACATAAACTACTAGAAAATAAATACAAGTATCTTTGTCATATTACAAATTCATGTATTAAAATATCAAAAGTTTCGAATTATATATAATAATATTTATACAAATACAGAACCTAAAATCGTAACCGTGTCTGTCTCCACTTAATTTATTATCAACTTTCAATTTTTAAAAATTATAATCACTTCACCAGAAAAATTATAAGTCAAACATGAGAAACACTCCAAATATTACAACTTTGAGCTTGAAAATTCCTTTGTTATGTTTCTTTTATTAGCAATTTAAAGCCTTAGTGCCTCGCACGTACCACCCCGCGTTACGAATATTTTTATCTAATCGCTCTTCATGATCTCTTAATAATCTCCCTAAATAAAATCACACCCATCCACCATTCCAAAATGTGCATTAAACCCCCAACACATTTCATCTCCAAGCTCTTCTGAATCATCATCAACATGTCCTCATTTAGATCCTACGGCAAGGTTGATGCACTTGACCAGGTCCGCCTCGAGGCCCGCCGGAAAACGAGGCGACGAATTGCCATCATCAGCCTGTCTTCCGTCCTTCTCATTGGTATTATTGTTGCTGCTGTTGTGGGAACTCGTGCTAGTAAAGACCCTGGAGAGCATTCCAAGAATGTTTATGGGGCAATTCCGGCTTTGATCAAAGCTGCCTGTGATGTAACATTGTATAAAGATTCTTGTTACAGTAACCTCATTAATGCCACTAAGGACTCATCAATGACGCCCAAAGACGTGTTCAAGTTGTCGATGAGAGTCGCCTGGAATGAACTTTCCAAAGCCTCCGAATATTTCTCCGAAAATGGTAATGATTATACTAGTGTTACTACTGGCAATTTTTCTGTTGCAGCCTGGAAAAATTGTAAGGAACTTCTCGGACTGGCTTTGGATCATGTCAATGATTCGATATATGCGATCGATTCGGTGGATGATCTCAAGACATGGTTGAGTTCAGCTGGAACGTATCAGCAAACTTGCATTGACGGGTTTGAAGAAGAATCGGAAGGAAAAAAGACAGTAACTTTCCACCTGAAGAACTCCACCGAACTGATCAGCAATAGCCTGGCGATTATATCCTGGATTGCGAAGATTACGAAGTCTGTGCAAATGAGGAGATTAATGAACAACCCGGAAGGCGAAAACAAGCCGAGTTGGTTGAAATCAAGAGATCATAGGATGCTAATTGAAAGTTCGGATCACCTGAAGAGGGCAGCAAATGTGGTTGTGGCAAAAGATGGGACTGGAGGATACAAGACAATCAGTGCTGCCCTGAAGGCGGTTCCTGATAAAAGCAAGAAGAGGTTCATAATCTATGTGAAGAAAGGAAATTACACTGAAAATGTGAGGGTAGAAAAGCCTAAACAAAATGTTATGATAATTGGAGATGGAATGAATCAAACAATTGTCTCTGGAAGCCTCAATTTTGTTGATGGAACTCCTACATTTTCAACTGCAACATTTGGTAAGTTCGCTTTTGTTACCCGGATGCTTAAGAGTCTGTTTAGTTGGGCTTGTCTATTGACTAAAAAAGTTTATTTAAAACCCAGTAATTCCCCTCCAAGTATTACTAACTTCAATGGCTAAAGATCATAAGAAAAAATGTTACTTTTAGAATTTTAAATAAGCTATTTTATGATTTATGAGAGAAACTTAATCGCATAAATTTTTTTGAGCTTATTTAAAGTATCGAAAATTTAAAAATATCTTTATTTTATTATATAAATTTAACTCGATTAATTTTCTATATTAACCTCATTTTTGGTAAAATAATATTAGGATGCTCTTTTACATTTTTCTCTCCAAATAACTAAAATTTTTGTTTACAAAATCTCTACTCTAATAACCTTCTCCTCCATAAGCTTTACCAGAAGAAAACGAATCAAACAGACCCAAAATTTTGTTGAAATTTTGCTTTCCTTTTAACCTGAACTTCTCCTCTTTGCAGCTGTATTCGGTAAAGGTTTCATTGCTCGAGATATGGGGTTCCGGAACACTGCCGGTCCGCAGAAGCACCAAGCGGTGGCCCTAATGGCATCGGCCGATCAAGTAGTTTTCTACCAGTGTCAAATTGACGCCTTCCAGGATTCTCTCTACACACATTCAAACCGTCAATTCTACAGAGAATGCGACATATATGGTACAATTGATTTCATTTTTGGAAACTCGGCAGTAGTCCTCCAGAACTGTAACATTCTAGCGAGAAAACCAATGCAGGGACAAAAAAACACCATCACTGCCCAAGGCAAAGTTGACCCTAATCAGAATACAGGAATTTCCATTCAGAATTGCACCATTTCCCCGTACGGAAACCTGACAGGAGTGAACACATTCCTTGGAAGGCCCTGGAAAAATTATTCAACTACAGTTTTTATGCAATCAATTATGGGAAATTTGATTCATCCGAAAGGGTGGTTGCCCTGGACTGGAGATTCAGCTCCGGACACTATATTTTATGCGGAGTATGAAAATTTTGGCCCTGGAGCTTCAACAAAAAATAGAGTTAAGTGGAAGGGATTGAGAAAAATTTCTGCAAAACAAGCTGAAAAGTTTACAGTGAAGGCATTTTTGCAGGGGAAGAAGTGGATTTCGGATGCTGGAGTTCGCTATAAACCTGGACTTTGATCAAACACTTTTTGTTCTGAGAAATATTGTTTTGTTTTTATTTCTATTTAGTGTTTTTTTTTTTTTTTTTTTCATTTCGGACATTCATATATGAGCTGTTTTATTTTATATACATATACGTGACATACTGATTGACTATTGAATTTGAAAATTTTAATAAAGGATTTATTTTTTGAGCCAATTGGGATTAATTATTAATATTTGGTTGAATTAAATACAAAATTTTTGTTAAAGATGATGGGAATTACAAAGAAAATGATGCCAATATTTCATTACTTCATTAACAAGCTTCATGATTCTCCTTAAAACAAGCCCATTTAGTAAACCATAACTCAACCTACAAGAAGGATCCATGATTTTTACAAGCCTCCTACCACATATATCATATGCAATATTATAACTATTAAAGACTCTATATAATCATGTGATATCATGTCAATAATGCTATAAGTTAATACATTTAGATTAAATGTTAATTATATGAAAAAAATGACTATACTATTGGAATCTCATGTCACTCATACTATAAGATATTGTATTTGTCTTATCTATATATTTTTTTTTATTCTCATCTACCGTTATGATCAATGTGATAGTTATTAAATGAAAAAAAATATGTGTATAGGCATGTACAAAATCAAGTAATATCTATCTTCAAGTAATATTAAATGTGTATTATTGCAAAATTAAATGAATTTCTATTACAATTAAATGAATTTATTCAGTCTCAAACCATTACAAATACGCTACACCATTAAACACAAAGAATGAAAATTTTCTCTTACAGTAATTAATTACCTACCTTACAATCTTAATTTAACACTAATAATCCTCCGGAAAAAGGAACATCAGTATTAGGCAACCAAGTATCCCCCATTGTAAAATTATACACTGTAAAATTCAAAGCCTGTGACGCATTCATCAAGTTATAACCTTGCCATTTCACCCTCCTGGAAGTTTTTGCTCCAGGTCCAAAATTCTGAAACTCCCCATAATATAAAGTATCCAGTCCAACTGTTCCATTCCATTCAAGCCACCCCACAGGACTTATCAAATTTCCAATGTAAGACTGCATGCAAACCGTCCTGGAATACTCTTTCCAGGGTCTGCCAAGGTAGCTCAATGTGGAGTTCAAGTCCATTGCCAAGTCCGGAGCAGCCTGAATGGTGCAGTTATGGATTGAAATTCCAGTGTTTTGATTCGGCTCGGTTCTTCCTTGAGCTGTGAACGCGTTCTTCTGATTTGCCATCGGTTTCCTGGCGTATAAATTGCAGCTCTGGAAGACAGCAGCTGCGTTGCCGAAAATGAAATCAACTGTGCCATATATGTCGCATTCTCTGTAGAATTGCCTGAGGGAGTGGACGTAAAGAGTGTCTTGATAGCCCTCGAAGCTGCAACGATAGAATGTGGATAAATCCGCATTGTTCCTCAATGCAACTGCCTGGTGTTTTGCAGGGCCAGCCGTGTTCCTGAATGTAACATCAACCGCTACAAATCTCTCGCCTGAGACAGCTGCATTTAATAAAAATCGAAGTTAGGACTCATCGTCGATTGATCATATACATGTTAATAACTATGGTAACGTATAAATCAAAACTCTTAATTACCGAAGGTTGAAGAATTATAAGTAGTCCAGCCATCGAGGACACTATGATTTCCGGTAATGACAGTGCGATTAATTCCGTCTCCGATCAGAAAAATGTTCTTCTTATACTTGGGCACGACTACATATTCTTCATAGTAACCTTGTTTTACGTAGATTATGAAGTATCCATCTTCAGGCATTGAGTTATTTGGAGCAAATGCAATGGCGTCTTCAATGGTTGTGAAGTTATCTGTTCCATGTTGGCTGACAATCACAGTTTGGTTGACGAGAATTCCTTGGTTTTCTAATTCATCAAGAGTTCTTTCTCCTTGATGGCACTTAATGCAAGACCCCTTCCTTAGAACCTGAAACCAAGTTAATTACATCAATATTAAACCCAAATGAGTAATTCCTACGTAAGATAGTCTTCGTTACTTCATTTTCCTAATCATAATTTATCAATAATTATTGTAATGAATATATAATTTTAATTAAAAAATTATACGAATACCTATAACTTTCAATTATAATTCAATAAATATAAGAAGAAATTTGAAGATGGATAACAGACCGAGGAAAAAGTTAATGCAAACGTAAGACAAAATTGACCAAGTCAAGGATGACGTCTACGCGTAATCCCGAAATTGATACAGCTGGCATGGAGGAGCAATTGTTAAGAGTTGAAAATCCCAAACCCACGTGACGCTGAGTCGCTAACTTAGGTATGTGCTCCTCAAGTTGCAAATTTTTACTTTACACAAAACCCTCCATTTTGTCTTCTACTTGTTGCTAAAAAATTACTTTTAAATTAAATATTAATAATTCAAAAAACTTTATATACAACGTTTTAATTAATTTCATTTTTCCCCACTTATAATTAACTCATCTATTTCGTTTAAAAAGTACAGAGATGACTTTCATTATAAGTGGTTTTATTATAGCCATAGGATATAACATTCAAAGTTTATCTATCTAGAGTGATATTACAGACTACAGAGTATTAAGTATATTTAAAATTTTGTATACAAAGCAATATGATATTACCCTTAATTTGAAATCATTTAATCTTATTTATTACGCATTATATCATCTTAATTTTCATTTTAAACGTAATTATATTTTATTCATTTTCAAACATACTAAAAAAATAGAATAAATTTTACAATTAAAAAAAAAAACCTAAATTTTTCATCTTCTTAAAGATTATTTTAAAAATTCCAAACTTACAAATTAGGGGATGCCGAAGTTTAAATGTAAGTGGATCTAGTCTAGGTCTTATAGTATATGCATATATTTAGGATCACTCAAATCATATGACGCGTATTTGACCATGTGCTTGACTTAGACTTATTATTTTTATTGACTATTAATTAACTAAAATATTAACTTTACAAAGATCTATTGGGCCCCAAAAAGATTTTAGTTGTGACCCATTTCTCAATGCACTCATTTCACCAAATCTACCCTCACTCCACTCTCTTTTTGGCCGAGCTCAAAATATTAACAATATGACACTCTTTTCTCAAAATTAAAAAAAAAAAAAAGACCCAATTTGGCCATTTTACCACCTATAAATTCTCTTCGTAATCACCAATTCTAAGCAACCAATAACTCAATTAATTTTTATAAGATTTTGATGTACTATAGTATAGTTAATGGGTCGGTTCTAACAACTTCAAATTTCAACCAAAAAAAAAATTCAAAAACCCTAAAAATATAAATTCAAATTATAATATACGTAAAATCAACAAGTATTATATAACAGGGTTTTTTTTTTCAAAAGAGAATTTTTATAATAATAATAATAATAATAATTAAATTAGCTCAATATATACTTAAATGAAAATTCATAGATATAGTTTGTTTACCTTGATAAGAGTTTCGAGCGGTTCACGAACCGGGTTCGGGTTTTTCAAAAACCGGTTTTTCGACCCTTTACTTCTCTTGTTCTTCTTCAAGTTCCTGTCCAACGCGTGAGTCACCAGACCGAGCGAGACACTGTACAACTGGGTCACATTCGAGAGCGGTTCATACAAAGCACTAGCAATGCCACTCTTCGACTCAGCGAGACTATCAAAACAAGTGTGCTGATTCGTGACGATTCCACTGAGCAAACTCGTGACTCTGTCGACAAGTTCATCACCCAACGACTCGGCAGCCTTGAGCTCATTTCCAATGGACTGGAGGTAATCCACATTGAGGTCCATGAGTTGCCAGCAGTCTTCCAAGGCGCCAAGCTCGAGGTGGGTGAGCTTGGAGCGTTGTTTTTGGTGGGTGAGGGTGTGTTTGATAGTTTTGGAGAGTTTTTGGGCTTGCTTAAGAGACTGTTTGATGGAGAACTTGCCGTAGTTGTACGGGTTGGAAGGGGAGGGGTTGAAGGTGGAGAGAAGGGAGCGGCAGAGCTTGGGGTAGGTGGTGGATTTGCAGGCGAGAGAAGGGGATTGAGATTGTGAAGAGGTGAGTTGAAGGAAAGAGAAGATGAAGATGAGAGGGAGAAAGAGAAGAAGAGAGATGGATGGAGAATTCATTTATGATTTATTAAAAGAAAGATAGAGAGATAGAAGAAGATGAGTGTTTGCATGTAAAGAGAGTGGAAGTATATATAGAAATTAAAGCTCTTGTGATAGGCATGGGCTAGTTGCATTCTTTATGAATGGGGTAAAGTATTGCTTTTATCACTAATAAGTTTGTTTATATAGATTAATTCATGTCAAATTGATTATTTGAATACAAGTGAAGAAAAGGGTTTTTATATGTTTAAGACGTTTGAGGGTAAATGTGGAGTGCATACATATTTCATATAATATAAAGAATTTATGAATTCATAATTTATGCCACATTTGCTTTAATGTTCAATATTTTACTTTTCCTCTTAAATTAATATAATCCTAACTCTAGAGAATGTTTATAACAATTTTTAAACATATAGAGTAGCTTATATATAAATATTAACATATATCATATCTTCTTTTCTAGAGGAATATATAATTTATAATTACCTGTTATTAAATCAAAAGGTAATTAATTTATCATGAACTGAAAACTCTTGTTATATATGATATTGGTAGCAATTAATAACGACAATGGAAAGAGGTTAAAGGCATAGAAAATGGGAAACCAAATGTGGGTAGAGAGAAAGAGGAAGAGTGTATGAATAACATTATTGCCGTTTCTGTTTTGGTGTCGGTTTGACATATTTATTATTGCACGTGATGCCGGAACGTGCAAGGAAACACACTTTCATCTTCAACTCTTTCAGTTACAACCAAAATCTTCTTCTTCTTGCTCCAATTTATGTCTTGTAATTATTTTTTGGTCTTTCCCATGTCTAAAGAAAGAAATTATATGGGATGGGCTCGCTCACAGCTTCTAGTTTTCTATTTGATCGGGTACTTAAAATGAGTAATACTATATTTTTTATCTCAAATGATGTGAAGTTTACGTGTAAATGAATAATTGATGTGGTGAATGATACGTCGGTGTTACATAAGTAGACACCTCATTTGGTATGAGAAATTTAATATATTTTTTGAAAAGTGTAATATTTATTTAAAATCATCAGTCTGATCTCTATTCATAGTTTCAAGGTAATTTTTTTTCCATTTTTTAGTTTCAGAAATTAATAATGACATCATTTTAAACATTTATCTTTAAAAATTATGGGTGATATTGTTCTTATGCTTAAACCCTAAATCCAAATTATAGATACAATTCCATCTCTTTTGTTTCAAAAACTAACAATGTCATGCTTAATTCTTAAAGTCAAACGATGAAGTTAATAAAAGAATTAATGGGTGACATTGTTACTGTCGGACATTAATAGAGTATATTTTGTGAACCATATTAATAATCATATTGAGTCAATAATATCATTTAAGGATTCTTTATATATAAAAAGTATATTATAACTATCCCATACTAAAATTGACATTGTAATAAAAAATAAAATCTAATGCAATCTTAGATCTAAGATTCAAGTGCTCCTATTAAGAAATAAAAATGAGGAATCTCTAGAACTTCTATTATTAGAGTTGTCCCATCTTCTTTATGGAATGATGGCATGTTTATAGTCATAATAACAGTGTATTTTAGTAAAACATACTAAAATTCGATGACAATATAATTGTAAAAATAGCATAATAAGATTAAAATGAATCCTTCCTTTTGTTATTGTTTTATTTTATTTGTTTTCTATTGGGTTAATTTCATATATCCCTATGTGATTAGTAATTTAATTTGACAGTAGTTAAGTTTTTCGAAATCCAAAAAAAAAAAAAAAAAAAAAAAAATTATCCCATCTCTTCTTCCTTTGTTAATTCCTCCCACCTTCACATTAATGAAGACAATGTACTGGTAAAAGCATGAAACAGACACGGGCATCCCCAGACTAAGCAAGCAAGATCCATTGACGTTCTCCACAAACTGTAAAAATTTAACATTTTCAACCCTTTCATAATCATTGTCTCTCAAGTATCATTTTTTTTTTTTTCATAAATTTAATCAAACGATATCTGAGACAAATCCTTAAGAAAAAAGCCCATTTCGACAGTTTCAGATTGAACTCAAAATACAAGAAATATTGTATTATAAAAGCTCCTACTAATTTGTTAACAGTTGGAATTTTTTTATTTTTTATTTTTACGTTTCAAGTTTGATATAATATTATAAACATAATTTCCTAGGTAAAAACTAGTTTATTGAGTTTACTTTTATATGCATTCATTCAACATTAACGCGTAATCTATTAGCAAATTGTTCAACATTATGAATGTTTATGTTATGCCTGGGAAATCAAGGGCTGACGTAGAGTCACATGATGAAACGTGGCCTGCTTTCGTCAGAACGGTAAGCGCACGTCAGGCCTGCCAAGCGCCCTGAAGCTCCCACGTGTCCGCTGACCTGCTCCAAATCGCGTAAAATCGGCTTGGGAAATGGGTAATGGGACGTAAAGCCAGATTATGTCCTGACATTCACACAAACCCAAAGATTTAATGATGATTACACGCATTCAGCTTGGTATAAGAAGGGGAAGACCCCTTCATTAAAGGGATTCGATCATTTTTACATTTGAACCCTCTCTCTCTCCAAAAAGAAGGCTTTGCATTTACTCTTTAATCATTTGTAAGTCAGTCCGCTTTAGCGACCTGATCCACCATATTAATACAAATCAGTGGACGTAGGATTTGCTACCTTAGCATCCGAACCACTTTAAAAGCTCTCATTGCATTTACTCCATACTGATAATTCTTATTCACGTGTGTTCCTTGTCCAATCAACGCTGCACACGTGTCAATTAGTTGGTGCCTAAATCACGCATCAACAGTTTACGTTTTGAGTTATTGTCTGGAAATCAGGCTTCTTCCTTCCAGGTCTCATATTTTACTCTGCATTTGAGTTCAGAATGCAGAGTTTACTTAGTGATGGATGGGAAAGGCTATAAAGTCAAAAAACCAGCAATAGTTACCCAAATTAATCATTAGTCTATATATGTTTAAATATGTGTATACATACGATATTTATATACATATACGTATATATACATATTTACATATGTATACCAAAGCGGGCGGGGTCTTTAAGAAATCAAATACAACTACTAGGTCCGCTGCTAGATCCTCCTCTCCCGATGCCCCCGGCCATGCCGACCACGTTGTCACCTGTTAGTTCCTTTCCTACTAATCCAATGTTCAAGTTGATTTAATCACCTTTTAACCACAAGTCGTTGATCTGAGCTGCGACATCCTTGATTCATTGGTTTTGGTTGGAAGCCACATGAAGGAGTTGCCTCCCCAACTGCGATAAAAAAAATAGTTAGAAACACAAAAATAAGAAACACCACAAAAATTTTAAAAGTTAAAAGAAAATACTATTGCAGAGCGAAAGTCTCGGCCAAAACTAAAGTATTGTTGCAGGGTCGTTAAGCAGTTACTAACTCAATCCTATGCTTGATGTTCGTACAAAGTCAAGGAGTTGATTTCCTGATTCAAAGCATCGATTTACTGATTAAACACATTGATTTGCACATACCAGGCGTTGATTTTGTTCACCCAGACCATTCACAGTTAGCATTTCCTTGTTAACACTGTCCATTGTTGTGTGTGTGTGTGTATATATATATATATATATAAAATAATATAACAAAGGTTACTACCAGGACAAAAGCATGATTTTTCAGAATTCAAATGCAACTATCAAGACGAAATCGGGTTTTTCAAATATTAAATGCGACTACTAGATGACTACTACACCAAATCGCCGTCAATTCTCTTATCTCCCACTGCCAGGTCTTTCCCTCGCACCTACGTCCTCTCCCACTAGCTCCTTGCCTAATACATCCACCGTTCAAGTTAAATTACTCACCCCCGAACTACGAGTCGTTGATCTGAGTTGCGACATCCTTGGGCCCTTGGTTTTGGTTGGAAGTCACTCGGAGGGATTTCTTCCTCAACTGTGAAAAAAAAGTTAGAAACAAGAAAAATAAAAGTAAAAATACTACAAAAAATATTCAAAGTTTAAAGAAAATACCCCGCATTGCGAAAGTCTCAATTAAAAGGAAAGTATTGTCCTAGTTAGTAAATACAAGTACGGGCAAAAAAAAAGGTACGAGAATTTTACAGGTATGATCAGCAAATGGTGAAAAATATGTTTGTAAAAATTCGGCCATAAAATTTGGATACAGGAAAAATACAGTATGAGTATATACGGGTTTAATACGGCACATTATCAATAATACGTTTTAAAAAATACGACAATATCAATCTTGGTTTTAACACTTTTCATAGACGACCTGGTAAATCAATATAGCATTTCAAATGTAAAGTATTCAATCAACCAATAATCATTAGACCTAATAATATAACACAAATACACAATATATAACTAAGATTCAAATTATATATAGTCTCCATACTCAAACACAATATATAGCTAAGATTCAATTATAGTCTCAAGCTAAACACATAATAAAACCAAAATTCAAAGTCAAACTAGAGCTCCAAACAAAAAAAATAAACAAATTATACAACCAAGATTCAAATTATATATAGTGTATAATAGAAACCTTCAAAGTACATAAACAAACAATAACAACTCAAAAAAGAGCATCATTCAACTAAGAAATGTTATCATTATCCATCAAGTCATCCATGTAACCAATCATCAGTGTACAATTAGCATCTTCGTCCATATGAATTTCTTCATGTTCCAAGTCGCAACTCATCGTGGAAGTGAACTTATCTATCATCATCATGTGCATCCTTACATACACGAGCGTGTCTAGCATTTCATGTGATAACCTATTCCTTTTTTTTTTTTTTTTTTTTTTAGCAGCTTCAAAGGCACTCTAGTTTCTCTCACATGATGAAGCGCTACAAGGTTGACTCAAAATTCGAATGGCACACTTCTTGAGCACAGGAAGATCATCCCCATTGTAACCCTACCATATTCCTGCAAATGACATAAAAAGCTTTTTTGAATACAAAGAGAGCAATGTACAAAAAGATAATGGAGATCGAGGTGCTGACCAAGT